CCGGCTCGACGAGCACCTCGCGGACCTCAAAAAGGGCCAGAAGCGGCGCCGCGAGCTCACGACGCTCAAGAGCGACTTACGGACGCGCGCGAAGAAGAAGCGCGGCAAACGCAGGGTCGCCGACGAGAGCGACTCGGACGGCGAGGATGACGACGGCACGTTCCGCTACACCTTCGCGACGCCGGACGCGCCGGGGTCGCGGCCCCGCGACGTCGCCCCGGCCGCGGACGCGACGCTCGAAGCCGCGCTCGCCGCGCTCGAGGCGAGCGAGATCCCCGTCCAGGACTCGCGGACGAACGTGACGCGGCCGGGCGCGCCCGCGCCGCGGGGTTTGGTGCTCGGCGCGGTGAACGTCCGCGGCCACGGCGGCATGCGCGTCTCCGGCGCGACGCACGAGCGGCCGCGGCTCGCCAAGCTCCTCTGCGACGTCTTCAGGGCGCACGCGCCGGACCCGGCCTTCCGCTTCACGACGATCCAGATCAACTGCAACTACGAGGCCGCGCTCCACGTCGACAAGTTCAATTTGGGGCCGAGCTACATCGTCGGCGTCGGCGACTACGGCCCGCCGGAGGACCCGAAGCTCCCGGCGGAGTTCGCGGGCCGCCTCTGGGTCCAGGGCCGCGGCGCCCTCGACGTGCGCGAGCAGTTCGTCCTCTTCGACGGCAACGCGCCGCACAGCACGATCCCCTTCGCCGGCGCGCGCTACACGCTCATCTTCTTCACGCACGCGTCGCAGTACGCGCTGCCGGAGGGCGAGCGCGCCTACTGCGACGCGCTGGGCTTCCCCATGCCCCACCCGAAGCTCTGCAAGCCGCCCCACATGCGCACGGCCGAGGAGCGGCTCATGGCGGGCCGCGACGCGTACGCGGCGTGGGAGCGCGAGGTCGGCGGCGGCGCCGCGGCCGCGGCGCCCGCGAGGCACAAGTACTTCCTCGACGGCGCCGGCGGGCGGCCGTCGCAGCGCGTCGCGGCGCTCGCGGGCGGGTCCGCGCCCCAGCTCCGGCGCCACTACGGCCGCGCGGTCCGCGCGGCCGCGGAGTCGCGCGAGGGCGGCCGCGCCGCCGCGGCGACGTTCGTCACGGGCGACCGCGAGGGCGAGGCCGCCGACGAGGCGCGGTGCCGCGCGGACGTCGTCGCCGACGATCTGGTCGCCGAGGCGCTGGCGCACCGGAAGCCCTTCGTTGGCCGCGTGGAGCGGTGGGAGGCCGCGTGCGCGAACCGGCGCGACGAGGCCGGCGGCGCGCGGCTCCTGGCCAAGTACGCGGGGCTCTGCCTCCTCGACGACGACCCCTACGACGCGCACAGCGACGTCGCGAGCCTCGGGCGGCGCCTCAGCGACTCCGTCGGCCAGGAGGCCT